TGTGTGTGTGTGTGTGTGCGTTACTCCTTCACCGCTGCAGCGTATGTAATGGTGGGGTGGGAATGTGGCACATATACAGCGGGGGAGGGGGGGGCCCTGGCAATGGCGTGAAGGCAAATAGCACTCCATTCGAAAGCATCTAGGAAGTAAAAAAGGAGAGGCAGGGGTGGGGGGGAAGGTTGGGTAGAAGGGAGTGGGTAGGCAGATCCGTACCGGTGCTGCTGTGTCGGTGACGAGCTCACTCCTTTCCATGCACCCCCTTCACTTAGCGTATATATTTTTCGCTCACTCACACTCTCACATTGGTGGGGGACTCTGTGTGTCCCGTGTTGGCAGCTGTTCAGATTCTGCGCTTTTTTTGTGATTTTGTGTCACGTGTAACGTCACGCACGATGAAGTGCGGCGGGTTTTTTTTTTAATCTATTTTAAACTCGGGGCCCGTCATAGATGTCATGCATGTATACACACGTAGAAGGGGCTCGCGAGAAGTGTGGCTGTCTGTGTGTGTGTGTGTGTGTGTGTGTGTGAGACGAAGAGACAAGCACAATAGCTTGCACAAGAAGCAATCTCTTTCCTGTCGCGTTGATGTGAGGACGTTTACGCACGGCCTGATTTCCAGGTAGATGTGGATGAAGAGCGAGCCGCATTTGTACCCATCCATCACCTCTCACACACTCTCTCTCTCTCTCTCTCATTCTTGCTCTCTTATTTTCGTTCTTTTCTGGTATGGATTAGCCAGTGGAAAGGCATTCCGAGGGCACGAGTCGCCAGCAGGAGAGGAAGAGGAGGAAGAAGCCATAGAAAAGACAAGAGGCACCCTCGTCGCCTGTGTTTGAGCGGAACGAGATGGCGTGCGTGCATGTGCTTGTCGGGCAGTGCGGCAACCAGCTCGGCGCAAGCTTCCTCGACAGCCTCGTTGCTGAGGCGCGTGCGAGCGAGGACGACGCATTCGCCGCGCAGGTATCGTCTCTGCACTTCCGCCCGTCCCCTGCAGCTTCATCGTCGTCCCCGCCGCTGCCGCGGTGCGTGATGATCGACATGGAGCCCAAAGTCATTGATGCGCTCCTCGCGCGTGCCGATGGCGCGGCGGCGTACAGGCTGCACGCGCGGCAGTGCATCACCCGAGACGAGGGCAGCGCGAACAATTGGGCCTTTGGCTGCTACCACCAGGGAAGCAGCAGGAGGGGCGACGTCGTCGAGGCGCTGCGCCGCGAGTGCGAGTCGTGGGGGACGGTCGGTGCGTTCCACGTCGTGCACAGCATCGCCGGCGGCACCGGCTCTGGCGTCGGCTGTCTGGTCGCGGACGCGGTGCGGGAGGAGTTCCCGCGCGCGCTGCTGCTGCACACCGTCGTGTGGCCCTTCGCCACGGGCGAGGTGGTGACGCAATGGTACAACTGCGTTATGGCGATGAGCGCCCTCCGCGACGCCGCCGACGCGGTGTTCATGGCACACAATGACGACTTTGGCGACGTTGCGGCCGCGGTGAGACGCGCCAATGCGAGTGGCTTGGGGGG